GAAAGAGCGTAAAATTTCCTATCAAATGAGTGTTTGAAATACAAAATTCATTGAAAAATGACTGAGATATGACCATTTCAATTCATTCACATTATCCATCATAGTAACCATTCCGCCATTATTATCTAAGAGACGACTATGACGTCACAGTATTAAATTCCATTGTTGTAATACAACTTCCATTAAACGCCAACAAGTCATTTTTAGACCGATTTTCGAGCGGTTTTCAATGTTTGACACTGTTTACAACTCTCTTCCGCACTGGATAAACCACATTTCAACTCTAAGACAGCCTAAATAACGTCCCTATAACGGCACAAACATCACCCTCTCACTATAGCCTCATTTCCGATGTAAACTCACTTATCTCAATAATATCACAATGGCCGCCATCATTACACACATCTCTCATCTCAAACACCAAGTACCATATGCAACCTCCATGATACTTACCGTTTTTGCCTGCTCCGAGCTTTTATCTGCTTTCAGCTAAATATTTCTAGACCCCCTTCGCATATGCGTAATTAAGGCACTCTGGATGGCTTGGAGCTTAGAAACATCATTTTCCTGACCTTTCACTCAAATTTTAGTGACAGCATCTGAAAGAGCGTAAAATTTCCTATCAAATGAGTGTTTGAAATACAAAATTCATTGAAAAATGACTGAGATATGACCATTTCAATTCATTCACATTATCCATCATAGTAACCATTCCGCCATTATTATCTAAGAGACGACTATGACGTCACAGTATTAAATTCCATTGTTGTGATACAACTTCCATTAAACGCCAAAAAGTCATTTTTAGACCGATTTTCGAGCGGTTTTCAATGTTTGACACTGTTTACAACTCTCTTCCGCACTGGATAAACCACATTTCAACTCTAAGACAGCCTAAATAACGTTCCTATAACGGCACAAACATCACCCTCTCACTATAGCCTCATTTCCGATGTAAACTCACTTATCTCAATAATCTCACAACGGCCGCCATCATTACACACATCTCTCATCTCAAACACCAAGTACCATATGCACCCTCCATGATACTTACCGTTTTTGCCTGCTCCGAGCTTTTATCTGCTTTCAGCTAAATATTTCTAGACCCCCTTCGCATATGCGTAACTAAGGCAATCTGGATGGCTTGGAGCTTAGAAACATCATTTTCCTGACCTTTCACTCAAATTTTAGTGACAGCATCTGAAAGAGCGTAAAATTTCCTATCAAATGAGTGTTTGAAATACAAAATTCATTGAAAAATGACTGAGATATGATCATTTCAATTCATTCACATTATCCATCATAGTAACCATTCCGCCATTATTATCTAAGAGACGACTATAATGTCACCGTATTAAATTCCATTGTTGTAATACAACTTCCATTAAACGCCAACAAGTCATTTTTAGACCGATTTTCGAGCGGTTTTCAATGTTTGACACTGTTTACAACTCTCTTCCGCACTGGATAAACCACATTTCAACTCTAAGACAGCCTAAATAACGTCCCTATAACGGCACAAACATCACCCTCTCACTATAGCCTCATTTCCGATGTAAACTCACTTATCTCAATAATCTCACAATGGCCGCCATCATTACACACATCTCTCATCTCAAAAACCAAGTACCATAGGCACCCTCCATGATACTTACCGTTTTTGCATGCTCCGAGCTTTTATCTGCTTTCAGCTAAATATTTCTAGACCCCCTTCGCATATGCGTAACTAAGGCACTCTGGATGGCTTGGAGCTTAGAAACATCATTTTCCTGACCTTTCACTCAAATTTTAGTGACAGCATCTGAAAGAGCGTAAAATTTCCTATCAAATGAGTGTTTGAAATACAAAATTCATTGAAAAATGACTGAGATATGACCATTTCAATTCATTCACATTATCCATCATAGTAACCATTCCGCCATTATTATCTAAGAGACGACTATGACGTCACAGTATTAAATTCCATTGTTGTAATACAACTTCCATTAAACGCCAAAAAGTCATTTTTAGACCGATTTTCGAGCGGTTTTCAATGTTTGACACTGTTTACAACTCTCTTCCGCACTGGATAAACCACATTTCAACTCTAAGACAGCCTAAATAACGTCCCTATAACGGCACAAACATCACCCTCTCACTATAGCCTCATTTCCGATGTAAACTCACTTATCTCAATAATCTCACAATGGCCGCCATCATTACACACATCTCTCATCTCAAACACCAAGTACCATATGCAACCTCCATGATACTTACCGTATTTGCCTGCTCCGAGCTTTTATCTGCTTTCAGCTAAATATTTCTAGACCCCCTTCGCATATGCGTAACTAAGGCACTCTGGATGGCTTGGAGCTTAGAAACATCATTTTCCTGACCTTTCACTCAAATTTTAGTGACAGCATCTGAAAGAGCGTAAAATTTCCTATCAAATGAGTGTTTGAAATACAAAATTCATTGAAAAATGACTGAGATATGACCATTTCAATTCATTCACATTATCCATCATAGTAACCATTCCGCCATTATTATCTAAGAGACGACTATAACGTCACAGTATTAAATTCCATTGTTGTAATACAACTTCCATTAAGGTGTTTCGCTTCTGACGAAATTGAATTCACCGCGCAACTCGAACTGCCGGAAATTGGTCTGAATGTCGTTATAATAAAGAATTCAATACGGCAGAGAATTAATAGTTTCTACAAATAATTATAATCATCATCCATAGAAAGTAACATTATAAAGATTTTTATGCCAGAAAACAAACATATAATAAGCATTTTACATTTCGCGGATGTGAACCGGATTACGATAATGTAAACAAAAAGCAGACGAGAAGTCAAGGTCTGCGCGGTAACTTTGGTTGAGATGGTGAAACCAAAGTACAGACGCCATGGGTTCGTCTCGAAAAAGCAGAAGGAGAGATATGATAAAGTATCTGCAGGGCAATTGACTCGATGGATTAGGGGAGCTATCCTTACAGACCACAATTACTCCGCCAGTGCAACCCCTGTCAGCGTTGATCACGATCACGGTTTGTACATGTAAAATACGTAATCTAAAAGACTCGTTTTCATATCTGCATCTAAATTACCATGATTACACATAGGTCTATTAGAAATATTAGAAATATTAAAGGGAGGTACATGAATTTGTTGATGTTCATTTTATATACCAGGTCCAATCTAAAGACTTTTTGAACTATGACTACGTGTAGCTATTTAAAAAAAAAAATTATAGTAGTTAAAGATGTGCACCAAAAGAGAAGATATTGAATTTTTCTCAATATTTCATTGAAAAACAACATGACATAAGTAAGACATTGAAAACTTGTTTTTATCAAGTATATAATTGAATTTTCAAAGATATATTTTGATAAAAACAAGTTTTCATCTGATTGACAACAAAGTTTTAAAAATATAATTTTTTTTTGGGGGGGGGGGGGGGTATTTTATTGAAAACCACATGGCCTATTGTAATCAAAGTGCAACATGGAAATTTGAATCATATTTGATAATAATAAATTTAACTATACATGATGTTATATGTGGATTTCAATAATATATATATATATACTAGGCCTAGCTGTTACAAAAAAAAATTACATTTGCTGATGTCTTACCTTACATGACAATACTAATCAAAGATAATTACTGTATTTTATTTTAATACACTGCACGTGATGAAAGATATACTCATTTGACCCACAGGCCTTTAGATCACTTAGAAAAAAAATTGAGGTGTTAAAAAAAAAAATAAAGGTATGGAACTCTTTTCATAGGGTACCTACTTTCACCAATAAAATTCTTTTAAATTGAATGCTTTACAAATTTACTTTTTATCCATATATAAACAATCTTCATTCCTTCAAATTTCATTCCATAATTCCTTATACTTCTTAAGATATTATGAAATCAATTCCGAAATTGACCTGAATTTTTTAAATTGACATCAGCTTGCCAATGGGCCCAACACTAATTGTTAAGCGGGAACGACAGGACAAATTTTCTCCAAAGTCTATTCTAAACTCAATGAATATTTGCTCATTTGAATTTGAGATTTACATGATTTTTCTTTAATTGGATCATATGATCTTACTAAGTCACAAACAAAATGTTAGCAGTCTAATTGTTTTGAAAATAGAAAGGTATATAATCATGATAATGCATTACGGGAAAAAATTGTTCAACCATATAGCTTCTTTTACATTCATAATCAAAATGGCGGTGTAGTTGTTGATGCAGATTTTAACTTATTAATACAGACTACTTAACCTTACAATCTGGAGTAAGAAATCAACTTTAAAATGTTGAAAGATCTTGCAAATGCTATGCAACTCTTCGCTGCACCTCATACACCGTCTGTTTACATGTGAATGACCAGGGGCCCAAGCAAATGTAGAGTAAAAGAAAGTAGATCATATTTTAGATTGATTTCAGAATATCTTGAGAAATATCGGTATATGGAAAAATATGTTGGCACTATGAATTATTTTGAAAACTGGTTCTTGGAATTTAGTAAGTGTATCTAAACAGTAAACTAGTCAGGATGTGTTACAGTAGATAATAAAGAATGTGTAATGGTGATAATTTTTATTCATTATTCATAGAATTGCCAAATTTGAATATACTGGAAAGAGAGGAGATGGTGGATGGGGAAGAAGTGACTACATCTGAGGATTGGAAGGAGGGGAGGAGAGTAGTAGAACTTGGAGTGTTAGCTGAGGGCTTGCGGGGATGTTGTAAATGTGGCTTACCATTACAACTTTCACACACTATTTCTGTGTTGACATATGGTTTAGCTTCTTTGTTAAAGGTATGAACTCACCAATTTTTGCACAGTTTGTATAAAAACAACCTTGAAAGGTTTTTCCTTGAATTTTTCTCCATATAAAACAGGCAGTATTCCATATATCCATATTTTTAGTTTTGAAAGATGTTACATTTTTTTCTTTGAAGTAATATGAAGTAATGCATATTTAAATTCTTTTTTCCCAAGCATTTGATTTCATTAATGGTGAATGAATTTAGAACAGTGACCTGTAATTAGGGATTCATTGATTTTACATTAACATTTCAGGTCTGTTGCAGCAATACAAAGTGTAATCATATTAACCATGTAAAAACGGGGAAAAAACATGGAAGAGTGTGGGATGTAAATACAAAGCTATCAGCAGGTAAGAAGTTTAACGTACACATCCCCTACATCAGTTACATGTATATTTATTATTGTCAAGTCACAAGAGCCTGATTGAGTTTTACCTGTATATTCCAATATAAGCAAGTTTGTTGTCCCCCTCAACAGCAACTTGGACGCACCTTGAGAAATTGTTGCTGTCTTGGGGGACAATAAACTTGCTTTTGTCCTCATAGCCAGTAAATAGGTATATGTATCTATAAATTGATGTAATCAGTGGCGGATTTAAGGGGGGGCACACCCGGCGTGCACCCCCCCCCCCCCTGAAATTGTCAAAGTTAGCATAAAACATAGTTTTGTCGAGGAAATGTTTCTGATGTCTACTCGGTAGACCTCATTTTTACCCTACAAAACCTCTAGAATCCAAGAGCTTCGGGGGGCTTCGCCCCCTTGGCCCCCGGCAGGGCTTTGCCTCAAGGCGGCCCCCAGAACCCCTGCCTGAATCTGGCGCCCAACCCGCCAGGGTTCGACACTAACATTTTTCGGCGTTGGTCTAGCCGGACTAGTGCATCTTTAATTTTATTAGTCCACAGGCAATTTTATGAGTCCGTCAAAAATATAATTAAACAATAGAATTTACATTTCAAGGTACTTTTTATACTTTTTTTGTAATAAACAAAGCATGCGTTTACATGAAATGTTTTATACCAATATTTGTTGAAATTGCCTGATCAGGAACTAGGATCGTGTTCCCGATCTCATTATTCTCTATAAATGATTACGACATCCAAATGCCCGACATCTTTCTTTATGAGTCATAATAAATCATAATCCCTAAAATGTTTAATTTCATTCCAATGAGTCCTAAAACTTTCCGCCAAGATAGCTAAAAATACATACGGGTTTTCCAGTGCCGAGAATTTTAATTTTTTTCCCCCAGAAAACTTTATTAGTCGGCTAATACGCCACAACTTTTATTAGTTGACTCAGAATTACATAACTTTCCGCCAAGATGCAATGTTTAAAGCTAAAAATACATACGGGTTTTCCAGTGAAAGTTGTCGAGAAAACTTCGGTAATTTTTTCAGTTTAACTTTTACATTCATCTTTAAAATCGAAATTGAAACTGAAAGTACAAAAACAAAACCCAGAAAACTTTATTAGCTTACCATTCGAGGACTAATACGCCACAACTTTTATTATGTCCAAATGAAAATGTATTAGTCTGGGACTAACAGACTTTAAACGTTAATGTCGAACCCTGCCCGTCTAATCTTCAATTCCTGGATCCGCAATCAACTAAATAACTAAGTGATGTGGTTAAACTGTTTAATTCAGAATAAAAACTTGATGAGAAGGCAAGCTATTTAATTAACTTATTGAAGCAACAGAGGCTCATTTCAGCTTTCTGATCTTTTTCCACTTTTAATCTGTGCTGTCAACTTTTCAAAATATGCTTTAAAGGAGAGGGAAGTGGGTACTGCATGTATACTGTTTTACTCTTGTGTTTTACCACACAGTCACACCTTGTTTTGGCAATATGCCATATGATGGAATTCACTTTTATAGAAATCCAATGTCTGCTTCCTATTTATCCATGTGTCTGCCTGTATATTCACAAAAGAACCTATATTCACATCATAGAAAGGGTATAACAAGTTAGAATGGGACTTTTTTTGATTTGTTCTCTAAACCACTTGACTATTCAGATGGAAAAAATTCTCTGTAGAACAGCAAAGCCTTATTACTGTATTAATCATATTGATATTGAATCATCCTAATGTAGATCAATTCAAGTTTTGTTGCCATTACCCCTAGGGGTTTAGTTTGTTAAAAGTATGGGTTCTATTTTTAATTTCTGGTAATAAAGAGAGAAAATAAATGAGACTAAGGTGAGTGTTGTATTTCACAAGCTTCTTGTTTTAAGTGATTAGATTGATTTTTTTTTTACATTTATGAATTTGTATTTACAGCAATTGTACATGTTGGTATTGGTGCAACGCAAGTCAACAGTCTCCTTTCTGAGCTGAATATACCACCTGTAAGCCATGCCATGCTGGACAAAAGACAGAAAGAGATAGGCAGAGCTGTTGAAGATATTGCTGCAGAGTCTATGTCTGATGCTTTGCAGAAGGAACTGGAAATGATGAATGAGTGTGTAAACAATATAAATTCAGTTTAAATCTCACTATTTAGCTCAAATGAGCCAAAGGCGCAATAGAGCTTTTTTGATCAGATCAATGGTTGTCCAGCATACATGTGTAGTGGTCATATGGTATAACCTGTGTTGGTTAAGTCACAATTACTAACATGTATGTCACAAACATAACAACCCATTTAATTTTACATATAAGATACATGTATGTACTAATTGCATGCATTTTTGAAGGAAAAATTGTCTTATTTTCTTTACTTATTGATGGAGAATTAAATTATAAGGAATTAACTTCATAGTTATCCAAGTTATAATAGTGTAACCTGCTTTGAAATGAAAGCCTCGCTGTATAGAAAGCCAAAACTGGCACAACCCAGGATATACAGTATAACTTGGGTAGCTATTAAATTCATTCCTAGAATGAATTAAAAAAGGAAAATTTGATTGAAGAAAAAAAATTGAAGAGTGACAGAGACACAGTCTAATCAAAATTAGATGTTAGATCTGCTCGCATAATTGCTACACTAGCATCTAACAACATCCTATAGAGGGTCACTCAGAGTTCAAATTCGGAACAACCCTAGACTTATTTTCTTCAATTACGTCAACAAATAAACAATGATTTTGCAAGAGACAATTTGATTGGTTGATTAGAATTTGACCTCTGACGTGACCCTCAATGAGATGTTGTTAGATGTTTGTGTAGCGAGTATGCAAGTGGATCTAACAAATAATTTTAATTAGATTGGACAGAGACAGTGACTTCCTAGAGTATTGTGGCCCAAGCCCCAAGAGCCTCGTGTTTTAGTTTTGATCCCCAAATGAAAATCATAGGGAATACCTAATAATAATTGATAGTGATCAAGTTAATAGAATCTGATATACTGATAAATATAAGGTTTAGTCATGTACAGTATAATTTGTGTTGATAAATATGCAGAATGTTATGCACATTAGGGGGTGTTCTAAAGGAGACAGGTTCACAGTTAATAACTGATGTCTGTTATTTAACTATTTTTCAGAGAGATGAACGAAAATGGACTAGTTGTTGCTGTAGATGCTGGATGGCAAAAACGGGGTAGCGGAAAGACATATGATAGTTTATCAGGTAAAAATACTGTAAAAGCACAAATATTCGGGGGGATTAAATTTTGTTTATTCCGTTAACAAAATTCAACAAAATTAAATCCCACACGAAATTTTATATGACTATATATTGAATAGGGCTTTAAAAAAAATATGTTTGTTTCCTGTAACATTCCAAAAAAATTAAGGGTCGGTAGGTCGGGATTTTTTTTTTCTTATGAATTGTCAAACATCCCTGGACTCAATATACCAGGTGTCATATTTACAGTGGACATCCAACATGGCATCCAAAATGGCTGCCTAGCGGCAGAAAACGATCTTCAGAAAGTTGTAGGGGGAAATTGTTGTTATAATAATGATTACTCTTTATAACTAATCAAACATAAATGTAAACTAGGTTGACATATTTTATGTCTCAAGTTAAGCTACAAGCTAATTTTCTTTTTTTAATAAATGGAATCAGCTGATTGATCAAACGAAGTTTTGCCATTTGTCAGAAAAAAAATTCACCCGGGGGTAATTTGAATGGGTCGGTCGGGTTACAGGAAACAAACATATTTTTTTTAGACCTAGGGTTAGTTTTAAAACAACGACGAGATTATTTTTGATGTCAAAGCAACAAAATTTTATGCCCAAGAAAATTTATGCTTCTACAGTAGACAAATTTTAGGAAAATAAAAAAAAATATTGATGATTAGAGTGATTACTTTACTTCGTGCCCAACATAAACTATGCATTAAGTTTGCTTAGGACTTGATTCCATTAAATATGTATGCAAACAGATGCAGTAAATTTAGAAAGACACATATCTCAAAGTTCAACTGTCAAATATTCTTCTAAAGAACAGCCATGAATAGTTATGTTGCTCATGCAGGTAAAGCATATTCAGTTTTGTTCGAAATATGGACCCAAGGTGGGATAATGGAGCCAAAAAAGGATATAATGTTTACACGGGAATATATATAGGAGAAAAATCATTAAGAGTCATAATGAGTCAAATCAAAATATTAAAATATTAGGTGATTTTACACAGTAAGCGTATTCGCTAATCGCTCTATGGCACGCAACCAATTTTTAACGACACTTATTAAAAACATTATTTACCAAAGCATTGTCAATACTTAGAACACTAACTTCAAAGAAGTAGGGATTTGGTCCCTATTGCATCCTGCAAACACGTTTTATAGCAACTGTTTACTTTTTTAAAGTTAAACGATTTGCATTAATTATACAGCACCCCTCATGAAAAATAAATATTTGACCTACATGTAATTATGCTATAGTGCACTGGACGCACAGGTTCATTGCTGACTAAAGGGGTTAAAGGTTATTACCAAATGCATACATGTAACATCAGTGATCGAGTTTGATTTTCCTTGCCAAAGTATTAAGACATACATTTTATCAAGTTAAGAAATGCATGAAAAATGCTTTAATAAAAACAACGAATACATCTATAAGTTATACAGTTTTTCTAATTTGTAATTTTTCAGGTCATTGTTCCATGGTTGGTCCTCTCTCCAACAAAGTATTGTCATACTCTCTGAGGTCTAAGAATTGCAGAGTATGCAGTGTAGCTGAATCAACCAACAAGAATCCAGCAGCCCATGAGTGCTCAAAGAATTGGGAGGGTAGTTCAAAGGCCATGGAGGCAGATATGGTTATTGAGATGGTCCAAGATCTACAGAAAAGTAAAGGAATAACCATTGATGGAATCATTGGAGATGAGGACTCTACCACTATTGCAAGACTGAAAGCTAATGTCAATGCTGATATTAAGAAGTTGTCTGATAAAAATCATCTAAAGAAACTGTTTACAAACTCTTTGTTTACCTTGAAGAAAAAACATTCATCTCTGACTTTGTCTGTGATAAAGTACATTCAGAAATGCTTCAGTTACTCCATAGCACAGGGAAAAGGAAATGCTTCTCAAATCAAAGAAGACCTTTCATCAATTCCATTACACATATTTGGAGATCACCAACACTGCTCCTCAAGGTGGTGCAACTTCATTAACAACCCTAACCTGAGGTACAAGTCACTTCCACATGGAAAACCCCTGAAAGATAGGTTCCTTCAGGATGATCTGAAAGAAGTCTTCAGTTCATATGCAAGTCATTCTGATCGTCTTTCATGCTTAGGAAGCACACAGTCGAATGAGAGTTTTCACAGAATGGTGTCTGCAAAAGCCCCAAAGACCCATCATTACAGCTCTTCTTCAAGCCTCAGATATAGAGTTGCTGCATGTGTAGCCCAGAAAAATGTTGGACACAGATATCTTGTAAAGGTTTGTAAATTTTTATTTTTTCATGCTTATTGTGTCATATCTGAGTTGAACCACTCAAGTTATCTCTTACATTTGAAAATTCTGCAAATTTTAATCAAAAGCAGATTGTATTGTATATCTGAGTTGAACCACTCAAGTTATCTCTTACATTTGAAAATTCTGCAAATTTTAATCAAAAGCAGATTGTATTGTATATGTATGTACATTGTAGTTGTACATAATAGATTCTTTTATCCTTATTAAAGGTTAACAAGAAATTGGGCCTCTCTCCTGGCTACTATACTCGACGACAGTGCATTCTGAGGGATTTACAAAGAAAGCGACAGAAGGCCATTTCAGTGACACAGAAATTTAAAAGGAGAAGGAGAGAATTGAAAGCCAGGAAGTACGTACTAGTATACTTTGATTGTCATTTGTCAGGTGTAAAAAACCTTTTGTCAACCTCAAAAATGAAAATAAACCAAGAACAAGTGAATGCTGATAAGTATGAATTTAAGTGGGAATTAATATCAGGATTTTCATTTATTTACAACTCCTAATTTATTAGCTGTACATTAGGTGATTGTTTATTTTGCTAGGCCTTTTGTAAGACCTCAGTTTAGAATCATTTGTTTTACAGTATACATCTTCTTTACAGAATTCAAAGTATTTCTACAAAAGAAACAAGGGAAGGCATCAGTTATTTAACAGGATGTGATCTCCAGCAGGCCTCTGACATCGTTGAAATTCCAGCTCCAAAAACAATTCCAAAGTATGATCATCTCCCTTCAAGTCAGCTGTTAAATGCTGAAGAGATCTATTTTGATTTGGAAACTACTGGACTCGGTAAGAACCTAGATTTAAATGTTAAGTCAATGCTGATGGTTATGGCCCTCTTCCGGTATTTCTTTTGTATGCATTTTGAAGGAATAATACTAGAGTTATCATAGAAAACGAATAGAAATAGAGACTCTTGCATAATTCCGGCATTGGTACAAGTAGTTGAGCATGTTTTATATCTTTCAAAACTTTACCCTTCCTTCTGAGGACACTGATTAAAAAGAAATTGCATATTCTGAAAGAATTCAAGCATCTTTGAAGGAGTTAAGTCTTGGGGAAGAGGGTTACTATTATTATAATGTTTCAAAATTTTTTAAATCATGCATACTGTAAACGGATTACATTTGGCTGTGTATTCTAATAGCGGATTTGGCGAAACGCAGCAACCGCTAAATCAAGTACAACGCTAAATGTCTTGCACATATACACATAAAAAGAAAATGAAGAAATGCGCTAAATCAAATCTACGCTTACTTATTCAAAAGTCAAATTTCTGCCAAATATCATACATGCTAAATATAATACATTTACAATATATCAATTTTTGTATGTATTTTTTTTAATGCTTTTAATTTTAAAAACTTGAATTTACTTAAGGAATGAATTAAATAGCAACCCAAATTATACTGTATTACCTGGGTTCCGGCAGTTTACGCTTTCTAAACCTCAAAGCGGTTTATAAAAAAGCGTAAACTGCTCCAACCCAGGTTGTAGCAGTATAATTTGGGTTGCCATTTAATTCACTCCTTATGATTTAATTTTCAATCATCAAGAATATAAAACAAGACAAATTTTCTCTTTATAACGCCTTCAAATAGTTCATATTTTAAACGTAACGTCAAGCGGATTGATACAATTTGATGTAAGTCATTGTGACGTAAGCAAACCAGATTATACAATTTAGATTAATTTTTTATCCAATCAAATGATGCGTTACAATCAAAATTAAATTATTTGTTTTTTATTTTCAGCAAGGGATTCTCATATTGTGCAGTTGTCTGCAGTTAGAAATGATGAGGTTTTCAACAAATACATCATTCCAGAAAAACCAATGTCCTCAAAAGCTACAGAAATTACTGGAATAAAAGTAGTCAACAATAAAATGTACCACAATGATGAGGAAGTTGAGACAGTCAGCATTAAGGATGCACTGATCCAGTTTATCGACTTCATGAAGAAATCGGAGTCAGATGCTGTTCTAGTTGGACACAACTCCAAAGTGTTTGACCTTCCTGTGCTGTTCAACATTTTGAGTAAATTAAACATTTTGGAGGCATTCTCATCTGCAGTCATTGGTTTCATTGATACCTTACCTCTTTTCAAAATTTCGCATCCAAACCTTTCATCATACTCACAGTTACACCTCTTCGAAGAAATTCTACAAGACAAATACAGTGCGCATGACTCATTACAGGATGTCTTAGCCTTGAAGAGATTGTTGGACCATACAGGACCTTCCCCTGAAGTCAAACTTGCTGCATCTTTCACTTCAAACTCTGCCTTTGCCATATTCCATCACAAGAACACAACAAAAAGTCTAATGAGCACACTAAAGCCTTTATTGGACCAAAAGGTGATTTCGAATGGAATGGGAAATAAGATTGCCAGCAGTGGACTCTCCTTATCACACTTACAACTGGCTTATCGCAGAAATGGTAGGGAGGGAGTACAGGATGTGCTGACAGAGATAACAGATAACAGTGTGCGTGTGACAAAATCTAGAAAAATCATTGATTCTGTTGCAGATTTTCTCAGATCTGAGCAGTAACGCAGTTGTATGATGTTCTTTGTATGTAACTATGTTATTGTTTGTTTGGTTGTTTGTTTGTTTGTTTGTTTGATTTCTGTGAGCCAGTGCTCACTAGTAATACCCTCACTCTGATGTGAATATGGACAGACAGGAATAAACAAAGTTAATTGACAATGGATTCGTACAAAAATGAATCCAACCATATTTCATGTCTAAAAAATTTCAAGCATCTGTGATGAGTAGTTGTGGAGAAAACTGTGACAAAAATTTATTATTTGTGGTACAGACAGATGCACAGATAAACAGGAAGTTGAAATCAGATTCGTCTAAAACCAATTCCAACTGTGATGAGTAGTTGTGGAGAAAACTGTGACAAAAATTTGTTACAGACAGATTTGTGGTACAGACAGATGCACAGATAAACAGGAAGTTGACATCAGATTCGTCTAAAACCAATTCCAACTGTGATGAGTAGTTGTGGAGAAAACTGACAAAAATTTATTATTTGTGGTACAGACAGATGCACAGATAAACAGGAAGTTGACATCAGATTCGTCTAAAACCAATTCCAACATACGGCATGGCTAAAGAAAGAGTGTGCTAAAACTTAAAGCATCTGTGATGAGCAATTGAGCATGATGAGTGATTGCTGAGAAAAATTGGACAAAAATTTGTTACTGACAGAAAGACACACAAGTGTAGAAAAAGAAAAACATTATAAACCCTGTGCTTCAGAGCAGGGGTATAATTATGCCATGAACTATTGTTTTTTTTCAATGTTTATTGTTATAGGTAGTTTGTAGTTGAACAAAACATTTTCTTTCCATTCAAAATAAATCCTTATTTAGAAATTGACAACAATTTATTTTCATTACCCATATTTTGAGCATACATGAAAAATTAAAAGGTGTTCATTGATATTTATTGAAGAAGACTATGTGCATATTAAATTGAAACATGCACAAATGAATATGAAAGGAAATTCTGTAAATGTTTAATATTGTGTATGACCTATACTTGGCAGTAATCTATTTTTCAACAATCGGGCTAGGTTTGATTTCTAGCAAAATTTTTATTGTGTACTTATAAATACGCAGGTCATAAAAATAGCGATGTTCTTGATATAGCAACAGCAGTTTTCTGTCAAAGGCACAAAAAATCTAATGTTTACAGTATATAAAAATGTTGTATGTTACTTGTAAAGGTAACGATTTGATAGATCTCTATCACAAGGAACATGGATCTGAATAAAGTTAAATAGTTGATCATTTTTCATCTTGAATAAAGAACATTTTGTTTGATACAATGAAATCAAGAGAGATTTACATTGCATGACGCAAATTAAACTAGCTGTTATTGGTACAACTAGTAGTTCAAAACATTCATTTAGTCTTTTTTTTATTCCCTTCATTTTCAATAACTGGAATTTTGCTGTGAAACGTTTATAGTGAAATGATTACTATGTGGTGGTTTTTAGCTCACCTGACACGGAAGCCCGAGTGAGCTTTTCTGATCAAAGATTGTCTGGCAATCGGTCTTTTGTCTGGGGTGTGTAAAGTTTGATATATTTTATTTCTTTGAAAGACCAACTGGCCCAATTTCAATTAAGAGGATTTAACTTTGTTCATAGGAAGTGTCTCGCCCTCTTGAAGTGGGGGATAATTAAGAATTTTGGTGGCATTATTCAAAAATCTTCTGAAGAACCACTGAAGAAAAGATGACATTTACGTGAAATTTAGCTTCATTATACATACCCTATATTCAATACTTCCTGGGGGAAGGATGGTCCACAAGTGGAGCAAAGTATGCATAGAAAAATATTTGAAATGTCTGTAAAATTCTCTCAACTCAGAACAGGCAAAGCCATGATTAGTCAAACTATTAAAGAATTATCCTCAGGTAATGTGAGTGGACATGAAAATAGATATTAACCCCCCCCCCCCCCTCCCCTCTTCCCCTAAGTCTTAAATAGTCCCCCAAAAAATGAAATGTCCCTTTTCTTTTAAAGAAAAAGATTGAGTTTCAATACACTTATTCATTTAGGCAAATAGAAAATCCCCCAAAATCATGGAAGAGGCAAACAGAATCAATCCGAATTTCCTCTGGTCAAAATTTGAGAAAAATGGGTCAGAGGAAATTCAAGTTAAAATATCTTTAAAAGTAACTCATATTGATATACAATTTTTTACACCATTTGAAAGCACTTCATCTAAGTAACAAATATATAGAAAAAAAAATACTTGTTAATTATTTCTAATTTATTTTCCAAGATCATTTTATAAGCCCTGTGAAAGGAAAAAAAAAGGCATTTTTTTGTATGAGGGTGTGTGCTTTTTGATAAGAATTAAATTTTATCTTCTATCAATTATCATTATTATTTTATCAATATTTATATTCCCTGTGACTACTTTTAAAAGATAGCAAAAGGTTGGAATGATTTGAAAACATTTCATAGTTCAAAATAAATATTAAATATGTTGGACACAAATTTGGTCTTTTTCTTTACTAAAATGAGAGAATTACCTCCCTTTGTCAGGAACACCTATGGCTTGAAAATTAAATCATATTCATATGCATTTTTCTGGCTTAAAATAATTTATTATGTTTATTCTTACAATTAAAAAAGAAAAAAATCATTTTCAATTATTTTTAATGTCAGAAGCCAAACACCTTAAACGCCAACAAGTCATTTTTAGACCGATTTTCGAGCGGTTTTCAATGTTTGACACTGTTTACAACTCTCTTCCGCACTGGATAAACCACATTTCAACTCTAAGACAGCCTAAATAACGTCCCTATAACGGCACAAACATCACCCTCTCACTATAGCCTCATTTCCGATGTAAACTCACTTATCTCATTAATATCACAACGGCCGCCATCATTACACACATCTCTCATCTCAAACACCAAGTACCATATGCAACCTCCATGATACTTACCGTTTTTGCCTGCTCCGGGCTTTTATCTGCTTTCAGCTTAATATTTCTAGACCCCCTTCGCATATGCGTAACTAAGGCACTCTGGATGGCTTGGAGCTTAGAAACATCATTTTCCTGACCTTTCACTCAAATTTGAGTGACAGGATCTGAAAGAGCGTAAAATTTCCTATCAAATGAGTGTTTGAAATACAAAATTCATTGAAAAATGACTGAGATATGATCATTTCAATTCATTCACATTATCCATCATAGTAACCATTCCGCCATTATTATCTAAGAGACGACTATAACGTCACAGTATTAAATTCCATTGTTGTAATACAACTTCCATTAAACGCCAAAAAGTCATTTTTAGACCGATTTTCGAGCGGTTTTCAATGTTTGACACTGTTTACAACTCTCTTCCGCACTGGATAAACCACATTTCAACTCTAAGACAGCCTAAATAACGTCCCTATAACGGCACAAACATCACCCTCTCACTATAGCCTCATTTCCGATGTAAACTCACTTATCTCAATAATCTCACAATGGCCGCCATCATTACACACATCTCTCATCTCAGAAACCAAG